TCCTCCCAATTTCGTCTTGGTCTTTTACTGATGTTATTTTTTTTCTTCTGCTAGCTGCACTGGAAGTGGTACCTATAGATACCCTCTTCTCCTGCATTCGTGTCCCTAAAATGGACGTTGTATTGGATGCTTAGAGGGTCATCCAGTTCCAACTCAGCTGTGATCCCTTCCTCATCCCTGAATAAAACTTCAAGGAAATGATATGGGCTCTCAAGGTTATGGAGAAGGTGATCTCCATATTTCAGTTAGCGCTCCTGTGAGCTCAAGTCCCGGCATGTTATGGCATCATCAGCTAGTGCCATAAAGAACTCCCCCTCCTGTTTGAGTATTTGAAGAACAACTGGGTAGTGAGGGATAAATATTTAACCGCCAAGACTCGAACAACTATTGCTACTGATCGGGTCTAAGAGATTGCCCCCACCTAGATCACCTCCAGGCATTACGGGCTAAGGTAGCAGACTTGAGGCGCCAGCTCGCAATGGCCGAAGAAGAGTTGGCAAAAGCGAAAGCTGAAGACGGTCTAATAGAACTCAAGCTAGAGGTTGCTACTAAGGTTTTGGATAAGGCATGGGCCGTTTTGGATGTTAAGCTTTTGGCTATGCTTGAGTTCGAGACGGTCCTTGCACGTCACTAGACCCTTTCTGTGGATCTAGACTCGACTATAGCAATGTGAGAGCTCATATGTAGTCTCAGTAAGTAATATACTTGTGTATAAATATATACATACATTTTTTATATTATTGTTTATTCTTTATTCTGTATACACGGTTCAATGTAATAATAAAGAACAAACATTTTTCTCATTGTGTGAGTTTTGTATGCCCGGAGACCATTTTTAGGCCTCGGGTCCTTTATTGCTTTCCTATTATAATGACGACTAATATTTTTTCAAATATTTCCTGTTTATGGCCCGTCTATGTGGAACCCTGTCAACGTTAGCTAACATGTACGTTTTCCCTTTGAGTACTTCATCTACCTTAAATGGTCCTTCCTAATTAGGTGAAAACTTACCAAGTGTCTGGTCCTTAAAACCAGGTGGTAACATAAGTTTCCATACAATCTCACCCGCTCGAAAATGTTTTCGTCTTATCCTCTTATTTTATATTCTTAAAACCTCTTTCTTCTGGGTGATCATATGATCAAGTGCTTGTAAGCAAATTTTGTCTAACTAGATTAACTCATTCATCATGGCTTCGTTATAGTCATCAGATGGTCTTCCCAGATTGTTCGCAACACGTAGCGAAGGGACTGCTATTTCTATAGGCAAAACGGCCTCGTGCCCATATGTTAACACATACAGGCTCGTTCCCGTAGCTTCTCTTTTATATGTCTGGCATGCTCATAGTGTCTCGGGTAATCGTTTATACCATTCTTGACGATTCTCTTCAATTGTTTTCTTTAGAATTTTAAGGATGATCTTGTTGGAAACTTCAGCCTATCCATTTGCCTAAGGGTAATATAGTAAGGATGCCAATAATTTAATCCCACTTTCCTCGGCGAAGGCCTTGAATTCACTTCCAGTGAACATTGTCCCCTGGTCTGTTGTAATCATTTAAGGAATCCCAAATCGAAACACGATTTGTTCACGTACGAAGTTAATGACATCACCCTATTCTACTTTCTTTATAGGGGCGGCCTCGACCCATTTAGTGAAATAATCTATGGCCACCAAGATGAATGAGTGGCCCTTAGATGAGGTCGGATAGATTTTCCCTATTATATCCATGACATATCCTCAAAAAGGCTATAGTTTAATGATCAGATGCATGTTTGACGCTGGCACTTGTTGTGTTAGCCCGTGAGCCTGACATTTCTTCCACCTTCTAGCGTATTCGATGCAATCTTTTGTAATCAATGGCCAATAGTATCTATGCCTACGTATTAGCCATTATATCTTTGGCCTCGATTGATAAGGCCTGCAGACTCCTTCATGTACCTATCTTAAAACCTCCATATAATCAGTGAAGTCCAAACAACTAAGTAATAACCCATCGAAGCCCTTTCTGTATAACTCATCTCTAATTAAAATAAAGTGTTGAGTGCGTATCCTTATTCTGTAAAGATAACATTAACTAGGATCTTGCAGATAACTCTTAAAATCATCTCTCCAATCCTGGGCTAACCCTTGCGAGACCATACTACATTGTACTGTCAAACCATGCTGAACGATTGAGGGATATTCTTTTCATTCCACCGCAATTATTTTTCTAGTGAGTTTAGGCTACAACCTTAGCCCTAATGCTATTTGAGCCAGTTCATTGGCTTCTCAATTTTAAGCTCGAGGAACGTGAATTAATGTTACTGTTTCGAACACCTTTAGAATCTGGGAAGCCTTGGCATAATACATCATTAGAGCTAGGTTCGTGCACTTGTACTCAAAATTAACTGTTTGATGACTAACTGAGAATCCCCCTCTATGACTACCTCACGGGTCTTCATTTCTTGAAGAATCTCAAGCCCTGTGAGCAGTGCTTCGTATTCTGCCTAATTGTTAATACATTCAAAATTCAATTGAAGAGATAGTATTGTTTTTATCCTCGTAAGAGATATCATCACTATACCAGCCCCAGATGCCTATTCAGTACTAGGTCCATCGAACTTAAGCACCCAGGGCCCCGAATCTATTAAGAACACAAGTAGTTCCCGCTTATCTTCAAGGAGCCTGGTTGAGGGATGATCAGCTAGGAAGTCCGCTAATGCTTGGCCATTAACTAATTTTTAAGACAAGAATATTAAAGAAAATTCTACCAAGGCCAAGCTTTATTTCCCTATACAGCCCATCATGACTGGCCGATTAAGCATATACTTAATTAAATCAGAATAAGAAACTACATACACAATTGCGTTTATTATATAATGCCTTAATTTAGTACAAGCATAATATAGCATTAAGCACGCTATTTCCACAATTGAGTATAGCCTCAATGGGAGTTAAACACCTACTTAAATAATAGACTGCCTACTCACATCCCCTATCAACATTTTGGGCTAACATACAACCTATGGACGTGGTGGTAGAAACTAAATATAATAGAATGGGGTGTTCTCCCTCGGGGCTACTAAGACCGGAGGTTTTGTCAAGTGTTCTTTAAACTTGTCAAAGCCACCTGATGATATCTAGTCCAGGTGAATTCCTCAGCATTTTTAAGTTTCAAGAGTTCAGAAAACTCCTTCGTCTTTCCTGTAAGGTTCGGGATAAAACGCCTGAGATAATTGACTTACCCCAGGAACCTTTAAAGTTCTTTCTTATTGCTCAGTGCCTTTTCCTCCAAGATGGCCCGTGCTTTATTCCGGTCTACTTCAATCCCTCTTCTGTGGACCAAGAATCCAAGGAAGTTACCTGTAATTACACCGAAAGCACACTTTAGTGGATTTAACTTAAGGTCGACCTCCCTCATTCAGAGGAAACTCGTCCTCAAATGTTCAATATGATCATGTGCCTTCTTAGATTTTATCATTATGTCATCTATGTATACTTCTAGATGCTTTCCTATCATATTGTGAAAGATGACATTCATAGCTCGTTGATAGGTGGCCCCGACATTTTTCAAACCGAAGGGCATAACTACCCATTCAAATGTTCTAATGGAGCCTAGACACCTGAAAGCGGTCTTGTGAATGTCTTCTTTTGTGATAAATATTTGATTATATCCGGGGAAGTAATCCATAAATGATAATAAAGCATTTCCAATCCCAGCATCTATTAACTTGTCTGCAATAGGCATTACATACACGTCTTTAGGTATGGCCATGTTTATGTTTCAGAAATCTACGCAAACTCGCAGTTTCCCATTCTTCTTGATTACTAAGGTGTTTGAGAGCCACTGAGCATACCTGCAGGGCCGTATAAATCCGACCCGTAGGAGGTGTTTGATCTCCTCCTTTACTCGTCGCTCTACTTCTACGAATATTCTCTTGGTGGGCTATTGGTGTGGTCTATAGTTTGGCTTTATAAGAAGCCTGTGTTTTACCGACTGCCTAGCCAGCCCTGGCATTTCATCATAGTCCCATGCAAAGTAGTCCTTGAATTCCAGCAGTGTTAACTTGATGGCATCCTTCTGTTCTTTATCTAGTAATAAGCTAATGAATGTAATCCTCGGCTTTTTTGGGGGCCTGAGGTTTACTTCTTCTAATGGATCCTAGACCTTTGGGGCTATGTCTTCGAATTTCAGAGGTGTAGGGTCTAGCTCCTACAGTTGTGCTACCTTCTGGGTCTCATCTTCATATACAACTTTGATCCCATAGATCTTGGGTCCGTAGTCTTCTAGTTTCTCTTGTATATTGTGTAACTATAACTTTTGGATGGCTGCGGCTGCTACGACCTTTCCTTTGTTTGTTTTAGTCATCAATCAATTCTATGATGGGCTCGTGCCTCTATGAGGTTAAAGGCACTATAGCGTCCGTTGTTGTTCTATATGAGAGGATTCTTTGAGCCTTTCGAAATGTGAATGGGCCCATGTTAGCGTCGTAATACCTCGTATCCACGAAGTCAGTAGCTACTGTGAATGGCTTATCTTCAGCCCAGACCACTTCTACCTCCTCTCCTTTTCATATAAGGAGCATCTAGTGTAAAAGGGTGTCTTAAATTAAGACTTAATCATCAGACTAACTATAGTAAATCAAGGACTAACCTAAAAGGATTATCCTATAAGAGATTAACCTAAATAAATTCTTAACATGAATTTTCACAAACAATTCAATACAAAGGGATTCTAAGTCTTTAAAATATTCTAAGAACTCGTATCATTCAATTAGACATATGCGAAAGCATGATAAAGAAAACACATCAACATGGGAGAAGATCTTCTCCCTTTATTTTCTCTCTATGCCTTACTCTATAATACATATATATATATTTACAACATAATATTTGGCCACTCAAACCCTTCCATAACTGGCAGCGGAGGGCTAAGGTCTCAATCACATTTATCACAATGACTATTACCTAGTCATCATACTCTATATATCATCTATTCATCAATAGCCCATCATATGTATGAATTTTCCTTTTCATTTACATATGAATAATATCAACTGCTCACCCTTAGACATTAAAAACATAAGGGGAGACTATAACAATATTCAAGTTCTCAAATTAAGTAGATATTAACGATTTCCACTTGCACGAATATTTTAGCCTGTTAATATAGCACAAGCATCAAACCATATTTCCAATGGCCCAAAATACATTTTCACCCAACACAAAACCTATAACGCAAGTGGATCAAGAATGTATTATCCTAATTGTCAATATCATAAACTAAATACACATATCAAAATAAAAAGAGAAAGGCCTACAGAAGTGATTACTATCACTTGGTCTAATACTTCTTTCCTCTGTTCTTCTGAGATGAGCTAGCTCCTGTAATATGTTAAAAGAGAGGGGTGAGTACAACCACTCAATAACCAAAGTACATCTAAGTTATACAAATACATGATAATTAATCATGAATGTAAGTGGCCAATAAATTTATCAAGGTGACCATGCAAACAATCACATTAATAATGTGTTAATCACATTAACATTTAACTCATGTGAATAATTTTAAGAATAAAGTCAAGTATAAAATTTACACAAATAGCTACATATACATTATTCACATAATTACTATATGTTCTCATTTCTACAATTATAATCATATTCTCAACATAGCCATCAATCACTCAAATGGCATGATAATAACAATATGCTTGATCAATCTCTTCCTTAATCTCCTTATTTCCTCTGACATGAAATCAGTGGGCTACCAACCGGAAGGGATCGTCCATGTGGTGAGACTACCCAAGGCCTTAATCATATCGTGAAGGGCTATCAGGCCAGGGTTACCTTCCTCACTTATGAACACGATTTCCCCTAAATCACACACTATGGAGTGTCATACCCAAAACTAACTCTACCCAAAGCTCCAAGTTGGCCAATTAGGTCAAGTTCCTTAATAGGAACAATGCTATAGTACCTTACAAGGTAAGTAGCGACTATAACCCCTAGGATTATTGGTTAATAGCCAAGTACCACATGGATTTTGCATAACCACTAACTCCTTCACTGAGGTGAACTCCTGCCATATGATAATGCTCATGAGAAAATGCATTTCAAAAACTCATATATATAATTCACAATTATCCCACATGCTCATCAACTTTCTTGCTAAACAAACATCAAGAATCATCATATTTCCATCATGCCTCTTGCATTAATTTTTATATTATCACATAAAACCATATTAGCATCATATAAAACTCAACATGCTCATATACAATTCATCACTGTACATAATCCACAACTTATAACCAAGAGTATACACATCATCATCAACCATCAATCTCATTACTCACACCAAGTCACCATTAACTTGATCATAAGTCATAGAGTCTCAACAAAGCCACATGCATTACAAACAACCATTTCAAAATTTAGACACATATATATATATATATATGTATATGTATATGTATATGTATATATATTCTTTTATTTCACTAATATAATTAATTAATTAACATACAAATGCATAAAATAGATTTGGTGTCAAAAGAAAATTAATCTACAATTGATCATATCCCAATATGTCAATAATATTATTAACACAATTTTCACTCAAACTCTAACACCTAAGTACTTATTTTATTTTATTTTATTTTTTTAAGACCTTAGTCTTAGCCCTTTGAGTTCTAAAATTTAATTTCATGTATTTGAACCTATCTACTTAGTTCAATAGTCTCCTTCATAATAATTTCATTGAAGTTTGGCTACAAAACATCATTCAATAATTTTTAAATATCAAAATTTCTCTTTTTATTCCAAAAATTCGCACATAAAAATACCCAAAAATTATAAACTTGATTTCAAGCCTAGAATCATTATTTTATAGCCATAATAATTTATTTATCATCTCAAATAATCATCTAACTATCAACAAATCAATTTATATTTTTAGAATTAACCAAAAATATATCCATAAGGATCTAAGGATAAACTCAAATACGTCAAATTTCAACTCTATCAACAAAATAATACTCTAGAATATTTATTACACTACTAACAACCTCAATAATCAGATTTACTCATCAAAAATTCATCCCTCTTTCAAACCCTAGGTTTTTTAAAATCTTAAAGTCTACAACTCAAAGGGAAAAACGACTAAGAAAAAATGTTTAGAATACTTAACTAATCTTAGAATACTTAAAATCTCATCTGAAGTATCTTATTATGGAGCTTTATCTTCTAAATTAGCTCTTACAGCTACAGCGTCGCTCACTCTCTGTACACGGACGCTGAACGAAAAGGAAGAGGAAGGAAATGAAAAGCCAAAAAGGCTTTGTTAGCTTTTAAAATTCGTGTGGGTCCCACACTAATTCACACCTCTCTCTCTCTCTCTTTTTCTTTTGTTAATACATTACACACGCCGAATTGTCTGCCCCATCTCTTCATTTCATGTTTTTTTTGCACTATTTACACCTTAATACACACAAAAGCAAATATTACTTCCCTCCCCCCTCTTAAATTTTTTTTATGTTCCTTTTTATTCTTCTTTTTTTAATAATAATATTATTGCTATTTTTATTTACTATAAAATCATAACTTAAGATTTTAATCTAAATTAAATCCAATAATAATCTTCTAACTAAAATTATTTATATCTAAATATTTCTCCAAAATTACTCATTAACTTAATTAACCTTAGGTTAATTTTTGGGATGTTACATCTGGTGCAGTGAAGAGGGTACACATTCATTGGCATGGATCCAATCCCATCCTAGGAGGGCCTGGTATTGTGCTACGGTACTGATTATGAAGAAGGCCGTCAGTGACAACTTGGTCCCGACATCCACCTATAATGGTAGCATGTCGAGGACCTTAGATACATTCCCAATGAACCCTACAACTGATACCTCAGTCGGCATCAGATCATGCTCCTCTTGTCCCATCTTGATCATCATGTGAGCTGGCAGAATGTTCACTATCGAGCCATTGTTAACGAGGACCCTAGTCATTGGTCTCCTATTGAAATGTGCCCTAATGTATAAAGGCTTCAAGTGCTGAGTCATATTTACGTTGGGTTTCTCCAGGATAGCCCGCTTTAGTTTTCCTTTTATTGCTTGCAAAGTAATTTGATAGACGGGCTCTGCAATCTCTTCTTTCTGTGCCTGTGTGCTTATAGGCTCGTACTCTTCTTCTTTTCTTGGCTCCATTAGGCAGTACTGATACACGCCCATCTGTGTTAGCCTCGAGGAGTCTTACTTCTGCTAGCCTTGGGTATTGCCAGTGGTGGACCGAAAGTGAAAAGGTAATGTTTATGAGACCACGCAACAGAGGTTGAGTGGTATCTCTCCAATGTGGATGGTCTCATTTTTTTAATTTTCGACCTCGCTTCCTTTGTCCTGATCCTCGGTGGACTTCCTTTTGAACTTGCTAGCCTCCTATTGGATGTCGGGGCTATCCTGTACCTTAGTTTTTTGCTGTTCAAGATACCTCTGTGTAGCCCATTTTCATTGAAGACGTCGCTTCTTGGTTCTTGTCAAGGTAGTTGGGAATTTCTTGTGCCTCACAACTCTCCATTTCAGAAGCAGCACGTTGTCAAGTGGTGTAACAAACCTACCCGAGCCCTTAGCAACTTTTGGTTTTGAAGGAAGCTTTGTGCTATTCCTTGATGGCGTTAATGGTAGTAATTGTAGGCCATCAAGCCCTATATCCCAGCCTATTAGTGTCACCGTGAATGGTTCGCCTGATCTAAGGGGTGCTGAGTACTTTACAAAGAAGTCAAATCTACCAGATAGTTCCCCTAGGCGGTCCCAGACCACCTTAGATCTATCTAGTTCTGTTATCACTAATCCCCTTAGGCCAACATCCCATCCTGAGGGTTATTTGCTATTTTTCTTCCATTTCTACTGACTGTCTCCGTTTTGGGTTTTCCCCAAGCGGTCCCAAACTACTTTGGAGCCATCTAAGCTTTTCATGTTCTTCCCCTCTAGGCCTATGTCCCATTTAGAAGACCTATTCTTATTGGACCAGCTTGTAAGCTTCCCCAGGTAGTCTCATACTGTCTTAGAGTTTCCTTGAGCTACTTTACCCCTGTTCCAAACGTTCTAAGGTCTCCTATCCTTCTGCTTCCCATCACTCTTTTTGAGCCGTCATTTGCCAGAGGTTATCTCCACCATGTTAACCGTAGCAAATGGGGGAAATGGGTCTTTGTCTACCACCATGGATTCTTCCTTAGAGAATTTTAAAACTCTCTTGTTGATCCGGTCCTAGATGATGTTCTTGAATCCCCAACATGCCTTAATACCATGGCTCCACGAGTAATGATACTTACAGTATTCCTTCCCTCTTTGTTCTTCCTTCGAAGGAATCTTATGATCCATGGGCAGGGAGACGAAGGTTTCCTTGAGGAGGAAATCAAAAATTTCCTCTATTTTAATAGTATCAAAGGTGTACTGGACTACATTCGGTCTTTTGGGCAGTTCTCCAGCCTTCCTAACTAGAGCCGAGCATATGTAGTTACCAGTATTCTTTAGTTTTGCCACCCTATATCCAAGTCCCCAAAATAGGTCATAGCTGTAATCCGTCGGCGATGGTCCTCTTCCTTAAGTAATTCCTCATAACCCCATACTTTGGCCTCAAGTTCATAGGAATCTCAAAATTCCATCCCCTGAAATTTCTTTTGGAGCTCTATATCCAGTCCTGCCTGTGCTAACTTGATAAATTCGCTTTCTAGAAGCAGCACGTGGCACCTGCTCCTCAAATGTTTGAACCTCATGAAGCATTAATCTGCTATCTCTCCTACCTGTTGTGTGAGCTTATAGAGTTCTGCTATGCTGACTTCCGGCTCTGCTTTATAGAACTAGATGTGAAACTTCTACTCTATTTCTATCCAGCTGATGATTGAGTTATGAGGTAGCGACATATACCATGTGAACGCTACACCCCTGAGAGTATTTGTGAACAATCTCAGCTTCAAGTTAGCAAAATTCTCATAATTAGGAATCTCACCGCACTAGATTATGAACCTCCTAATGTGCTCCAGCAAAGAACCTTTAGTTCTCTTCCAGCTGCTTACCATCCGGTCTTGAATTCCTTACAGCACTTCTACCACAGGTTCGTTGGATATGATTAATAGGTTAGGTTGGCAACTTCCTGACTTTGAGCCAGGTCTTGTGCTATTGCTACCTGTTATCACTGGTACTACATGCTTATGATGTTCAGCTACTCCAGTATCGGGTGATAAGTATTCTGATCCTACGTGGTAGAGATCCCTTTTGGTTTGTGAGAATCAGCACCTGTTTCATTAGTCCTTTTATCTTTTCATGTCCTTGCATTCTTTGTTACACAAGTCCCACCGGGCGTGCCATAAATTATTCGTGGTTGAATAATAAATACCAGGCGTGCCAAAGACGCTGAGTCTCAATAGATAACGAAAAGGGTCCTGAGTTTCCTTATCACAGTTCGCTCGGATGTTAAAAGATAGAAGGCTTTGGTAGAAAAAGTGTATAATTTTATTGAAGTGCAGAAAATTACAAACTAAAAAAAACTAAGAACTGAAAAGGGCTAAAGAATGTAAAATATGCGAGTCTTGATTGGGTGTTGACTAGCTTTCTCTGTTTTTCTTCTTTCTATTTATAGTGTCAAATAGCAAAAGCCTTTCCTTTGGGACCTAGCACATTCTACCAAAGAATTAGGAATCCTGCTAAACTTATGGCACGGTCTCTCCATTTTGATAACCAACCCATTTTACTAAATTACTTGAGCATAGATTTCGGCATTACTTAGGATCATGCCTTCGTGCCAATGGTCTAATTTTGAAACTGACGAGATTTTGGCATGTTTACTTGTTATAGACTTTATTGAGCTTTGAGGCCGGCTTCTTTTAATTATATTAGGCCTGACGCTTCGATTACTCAGCTCAACTAGCCCCATGACCTATTTGAGCGACATTTCATATTTAACTCAAACAATATGAAAATGAAACAGATCTAAAACCCAGATCTGAAAAGGAAGCAAAACATATTTAAGGGAGTGTGAATATAGGGATGGATTGTCTTCGAAAAATGATGTATAGCTTTAAAGCTCTTACATTCAGCATCCATAGTGATTACCTGGAGACAACTGTGTATGGGCATTGAGGTGGGTTGTCCTTCTATGAAGGGATACGAAGGGTAGAGCATCGGGGGGAAAGGTCATCGGCCATGAGTGGAGAAGGCAAGAAGCTTGAGAAGGTTGATTTGTGATTGTGGCCTTAGCCTAAACAAAGAGGGAGGGGGAAAATTGGTGTATGGAGTAAAGAATTTGAAATCCTTAGAGTGTAGCATGGAAGCCAATTCTACCAAATTTGATGGATATGGAAATGAAAAATTTTCAAATTTCATGGTACCAAACAAACAATGTTCAAAATTTGACATCCATTTCCAATTACATACTCCAAATTCCAGCGAATTAAATAGGACTTAAAGTAACTCACTATTAAGTAATAACAGTAATAAGAGGCACAAAATGACGATAAAGTCACAATTCATCAACATAAGTAACTCACCCCTATCACTCTACTTTACGACCCATTCGATTGAATCCCATTGCAACTCTATGATATAATCAATGTCAATCCATATCTTCAAACCACAATCAACTAAAAGCGTGTGTTTGGTTACGTGGATATTTAACAATGGTGACGGTAATAAAGACTATAAAAAGAAAAAAGAATGGTAACGAAAGATTCATAAGGGTTTGGATATGAATACTCATTACCATCCATTTTATTCCAAAAATACCCTCAAGCTACTCGTCATCCCCTTCCTCCTTCCTTATCTAAATAAACCTTATGCTAGTGACACCATTGAACAATCAAGGCAGTAAGTAGAATTGGATGTAGAAGCATTGCAAGTAGGATTGTATTTCATCGTACCTTTAATTAGTTTCAATCAAGATAGGCATAGTGGGCTTCATATTCTCTAATAAATCCTTGTTTTGGAGCAAAACAACTACTTCAGACATCATTGGCCTTGCTTCTGGAGAAGCTTGAGTGCAAAGCAAACCAATCTCCATGATTTTCTTCACTTCTTCTGCATCATACCCATTAGGGTCCAAGGTATTATCCACCAACTCGAGGTGCATGCCTCTCTCGTATAATTTCCAAGCCTAACAATTTGAAAATTTAAGAGAAATGGAGTGAGAAGGCGTATATATTATGGGTAGAGCAAAACCTAGGTTAACATTTTCTTAAATATTTATTTTGGATTCTCGAAGGAATTACTAATTAATAGCTTTATTGAAAGAGTTAAATCCAACTTTAAAGATCAAGTCTTGAATCTAAATTATATAACAAAAAACAGCCTTTTAAAAAATCATGGGTATTTTCTCACTTTTTGAAGGAGGAATTCACCATCAGCATCATCATCAACATTTAATTCTTTGCTTTGTCGACCACTAATAATTTCTAAAACAACAACACCATAACTATAGATATCAGCCTTCTCTGATAATTGACCATGAATTATGTACTCAGGTGCTGTGTATCCCCTGATAAATGCAAAATATTTTAATTGGAATTATTATAACAATTAATAATGTCTCAATCATAATCACATAAACATAAGAAACAAAGCAATTGTTATTTATTTGAGCAATATTTTTTTCAATATAATTAGTAAACCACAAAAATATGAAATAGATGTAAGACACATAAAGGATTAATTGCATGATGTGCCAGATCAATACAGATTCTTCCTCGAAGTATTCACGGTATATAGAGGCTGAAAGGAAAAATATCAAAACTAATTAGAGATATAATAGGAGCGTTCCATTGACATATACATATATTTTAGCAATATCTTCAATAATTTATACCATATATAAGAAGTTAAGAAAATTAAACAAATATATTATACTTACAATGTTCCTGCAAATTTTGTGCTAAGATGAGATTTGTCTTCAGGTAAAAGTCTTGCCAACCCAAAATCAGCAATTCTAGGTTGTAGATTATCATCTAAGAGGATGTTGTTAGTCTTTATATCTCTATGTATGATACAAACATGAAATTCCTCATGAAGATAAGCCAAACCCTTTGCCGTTCCTAAAATTATATCATATCGTTGCCTCCAGTTGAGAGAACCTTTTCTTTCACCTATTTTCCAAGTTTATTTGAAAGGGTATGATTAAAAGAAGGCACTTATGTAAAGTCATCCTCAATATATTATACTCCCTTTGGTCTAAAATATAAGTAGTTTTTTAAAAAAAATCACATATAAATAAAGTTCTCATTCTCATAAAAATATACATTGTTTTTCTTTTTCACCCATAGTTTCAATTACCAATCACTTCATGATGAGAGTGAGAGATATATTTACACAAGAATTTAAGTTAATAAATACAAGGGGAAAAATAAGAAAAAGTTCTTTTTAATGTATTAGGTTGCTTATATTTTAAACCAAGATTTGCAAAGGGGAAAGGCTTATATTTTGGACTAAAGGGAGTAGTAAATTGATACAAAAGTTTACAAAAGTCCTTCAATAAGACCGATCATAAAGTGAATATTTTTTTTTTGTTGAGGGCGTCAATCATGTGTGGTTAAGTAAACAAAAAAATATATACGCCATGATGTTATGAATAAGTATAATAACTACTACTTAAAGACCAAGACTAACAAAAATATTGTGTGTTGAAAGGATCTTACCAAATAATAATTTGTCAAGACTGTTGTTTTTCATGTATTCATAAACAAGAATTCTGTTGTGCCCTTTACTGCAACAACCTAGAAGTCGAACAAGATTTAGATGATGAACATTACTTATCAGCTTCACTTCACTTTCAAAATCTTCCTCCATCTTTGTGAATTGGCGAAAATTTAATTTCTTGATTGCAACTACTTTTCCATTTTGCAGAATACCCTATTCATGATGGTTAAGAATTTCAATGATGGAAGTGTTTTTTGAATACATGAATATGCTGAAAATGGAAATAAATTTACCTTGTATACAACACCAAACCCTCCTTGTCCTAGTTTATTTTCTTCGCTAAAATTACTGGTTGCAGACTTCAAATCCCCATAACTGTAAGTAACTGGGCCGTCTAGCTTGCTTGCTCCAATTATCTCTCCTATTCAGCAGAACATTAGCCAATATTATTGGACCAAAATGTAGGACATCTTGTAGTTTTAAGAAATATCTTTCCATTTTTCCATTGTGTTGATCAATATGTGTGAGGAATAATTTTATGTAAGAAATTATGGATGTTAGTTGTGGATAAGGATAAAACAAGAAAAAAATCAATATTTATTATATTTTAACAAAATTGTATTTCTTGAATTTGTGGGATACATGTTGGCGAAGTGTCCTACATTATATTGTGGACTAGAAATATTATCTGTAATCTCTTTAAGAAGAACTATATATTAGGAATTGATCGCTACATAGAGATGAAAGACTATATTTTTTCAATGCAAAAGGTGAAAACCAATGTATCTTCTTAATTCTATAATTGAAAGTGCATAATATTTGAAGACTTTCCAAGTCATTTACCTCTGGGAATCTTCTTAGGGGTTTTTGGTCGTCTAATCCAGGTAAATAATGCAAAGAGGATCAAAAGAGAAGCTACACCTCCAACAACACCACCAATAATGTCCCCTTTCTTATTGCTGCTTGAACCTTCAAAGCAGGAAAATAGAGAACTTATTTTCATTAAATATGCCTCGTAAAATTTATACCAGCTCGCGTATATGTAAATTCATATTATACCGTCTGTGTTAAATTTAAAAATAGCATAGTTTCTAGGTTTTACATTCTACATTGATTATTTGTTATGAAACCGATGCATATAATTGATCTATTAAGTTAATCATGTGCTTTCCGATCCAAAAAATTCACGTGTTACGTTGTTGAATTGTTAAAAATTAAACTCATTTATATATCAAGTTTTTATTAAAACTTGTTAAACAACAAAGAAAAAACACCTATAAAGTCCATCCCATTCAAGAAAACATTTTTACATGTCTAGTCATATTCACCAACAAATTACGGAATATATAACAGGATAGTTTTCAAAAGAAAAAATTAATCTTTTAATCCTTCAACTTTTAACTCACTTGTAACTCAGTCTCTCAACTATAACTCGCTGTGACTCAGTTCTTCAACTTTTGATTCACATATAACTCGGTCCTTATTTTTTATTTTTTAAAAAAATTTCTTATCAAATAAGAAGGATAAAAAAATGCTCATATATTATTTTAATATACCCTTCTCTTGCTCATTGATGTGAGATATAAGCTAACATGAAAAAAATTAACAAAAGTTAAGAAAATAATTTGTAAATGATTCAAAAGTGAAGGGATTAAATCATAGGCAAGTCATAGTTGGGGAACTGAGTCACAACAAGTCATAGTTGAGGGACTGAATTACAAGTGACTTAAAAGTTCGAGAACAAAAAGATTAATTTTTCCTTTTCAAAATACACAAAATAAGCAAGTCAAATTGTCATGCTGCGCAATATTATATTGAAATCCTTGAATGAATTAACCGTACCTTGTTTGCCTAACAACGGAGTGACATCAATGGTCTGGTAATTATCAGGGAAGAATGAAGTGTTGGAGTATCTCATGTAGCACCCAGAAGCATAAGCTTTGCCATCAGAATTGGGAAAACAAGTAAGCATATTGTTGTACCCACTGTTCAAGCAATTGAGGCACCCACTCTGCGTGATAGTTTCAGTACATTGAGCAAACGCATAAATAGTTGAACCATTCTCAGGCAATTCTGCTTTTGTGGCTGCAAAAAACCCTTGTTTCATTGGTGACGTTGTTTGCAGATTCATTAGAACTTGTTGCACAATTGAGGTAAATGTGGTGGATTCTGTTGCAGTTTGATTACCACACGATACGGCATTGAAATCCGTTGTCTCCTCAAAGAAATCACTGATCTCGTGCCTGATCAATGCACAAAGTATACCATATATCATTTTTCTAAGTTCAATATGGTTTGGCTATTTACAAATCAAAATTACAAGAGGTAATTGAATGTTTCATCTGTGGGTTACTTTTATATTATTTTTGAACTGTGAATGCTATACTTATTTTTCAGAAAAATTTGTTAAGAACGTAGTACCATTAAATTGAACTTTTGCGATTGAGGTTTGTGGCCATGGGTTCAAAATGTGAATGCCTATCATCAAAGGCTATAAGAGGAACCAAATGGTTGTGGCACAGATAGTTATGGTTCGGATCCCTTAAACTTCATTTCAAGGAATTTGATTTTTGAAGGTGTATATTGAGAGCATTGCTTGAGAGAGAATACGCTTAGAGTTCATTGAAAATTAATCCCATGGTTACTGGTTGTGGGGATACCTTGTGAAATAAGAAAACAAGGCTATGCGAGAAAATTTCTAGTCACGCTTTTTGTATAAGACAGATGGCAACAAAATGATATGGAAAGGAGTGTTAGAACATTAATTAATGATGGATTGATATTAATAAAGTCTTACTATTTAAAACTCTTTCAGGGAACTTGCCTCCCCTCATATAGTATCTACTAATAGTTACTTGAACCATTTGTACACGAATTCGATTGATAAATTTGACAACTCTATTGATGATTTGTTGAAATTGATTTTATTTATATTATTATCCAAGTAAAATATTGTAAGTTAAGATATGATTTTGTATGTACTAATAATTTTCATATAATTTTTACTGTAAATGAAATATTTTTCATGAAAATGAATTAAAAATTGTTAATAATAATATCTCTTTTGTACCCTAAATTTTATGTAGTTATATAGATTCAGGTCCCAACCACAGACGTGCAATTACTAATTATAGTACCATTAATTTGGTAAAAGATTTTGGTATCTCTTTTGCCTTTATTTAATTAATGTAAATCACACAGAATATAATATACTACTCCCTCCGTCCTCAATTATAAAACACTTTTGAGAGAGATTTGTCATTTTAAAATATAAGACACTTTGAGAATATTAATATTTCATTAAATAAGTTTATTTTAATAGTAGTCTTTTCCGTTCTCTCTCTATTTAATACTAATTAAGTGTAAGTTTAAAGTTTTTAAATGAAGAATATTTTTAAAAGTTTATATTTTTATTTTAAAAAATAAAATTGCTAAGTATATTTAATAATTTTTATTGGTATGTGAGATTTTACCTAAAAGTGTATTATAATTTGACACGAAAGAAGTATTATATACACATGCACATACCATCTAGTGCAAAATATAATACGCTTTTCGTATGGATTCTCTAAGGGAGAGTTTGTGTCCGCTTTTAACTACTGCTACTACTACAAGAATCTAGTTAAAGATGATTTGTATCATTAAATAGGTAAGAAATTACCATTATTTTCTAAGATTACCTTCCAATTAAAATTAATTTATCTTGATTATGTTTAATCTTTTTCTTATAAAATCTCTCTCTACAATACAACTAATAAGGGAATTTGTAAGAAAAATAATCTAATACTATTGATATTATTTTTGCAAAATGGCCTATATTTTAGACCAAATTTAGTTAATAAGAAATGTCTTATATTTTGGATACAAGTTGTAAATAAAAATCCATCTATTTTTTTAATATAAGAGAAAATAATCAACTCACAAAGTTTAAGAAAGTTATTTAAGTGTAATAATTATATATAAAATAAAAAAAATGAACTAAATTATCTCTATAATTAATGAAATAAATTTGTTTAATCAAAATGAACCTTAACTTTATGAGGGACAATTTGGAAAAAATGGGATAGATGTTTCTTGAAATTTATAATTTTTTATAAATAAAAACAAAGAGAAACAAGATAGTTTCTCTTATATTTGAAAACATAGTATTGGAGTTTTGCTCAAAAAAAAAAAAAAGAAAACATAGTATTGGAGTAAAATACAATTATCATCTTTCTATTTTATTAAAATTACATATACATCCTCTCTATTTTCAGAACCTACACCTCAATCCAATCGGTTAAAAATTTTAAAATACTTAATTTCTTATTTCCAATTATGTTAAAAATTTTGAAATTGTTAATTTGCCGTTATGATCTTATTATTAAATAATTTATTATATTAATTCATATGTCATTATATTTTTTAAAATTACTTTATGAATATTATTTTAGATAATTTATATATTTAAATTTTTTAAAATTACTAAGTAAATACATTTACATAACTAAAAAATCTTAAATATAAATTAAAAATAAAATATATATGCATTACTTTTTTTGTGTAATTTGAAATATTTTTAGACAATATTAATAGACAATTGATGGTTGGGTGGAACCGTTCAACTAGTTGATAGAGTTGAATTAACTTATTTTAGGATCTCAAGTTTAGGTCTTAAGATATGCAGTCATGTTAAATAAATATATCAAAAATATTCCTGAAGTGCCCATGAGATCATGGTTGGTAAGAATAATCTCATACAGCAGGGGTTCAAATTAATTGAAGCAGAGGTGGTAATACCCAGATTTCTTAAGACACTAAGTGATGAAATAAATAAATAAAAAAATTAACGGTGGCTGGATGTAAATGTTGAAAACTAAAAAAAATAAAGGGCATGTTTATTTTTCCTAACTATTCATGCTAGATATAAGTTTCAAAAAATAAAAAGAAAATATATTTAATTAAGATAAAATAGAAGGAGTTCAGAGTTTATTCTTAACATTGCCGATAAATATGTTTTTTGGATATATAATGGTCAATGAATACCTTATCTTGACAATCTACAGTTAAAAGATACCAAGAAGAAGAACAGTGTATACGACTGGTAGAGGAGTTGAACCTGAGGAAGCAGCCGTCGTAGACAACACGGCCACCGGGTGCCACGGCGGGGCAGTTGCGGATTTCCACGGCAGCAACATCGAAACAGGTAACACAGTCATGAATAGAGAGGTAATTTCTGCACTGAAAAAGACTGTATACTGGGAATTCTCCGCTGCCTTGCTGCGCCGTCGCGAAGTACTTGTTCTGAGTAATGATCTGATCTCTGATGTCACTAAACGTTGCGTTTATGCTGTTCTCGATGATGGAGAAGTTGGTTGAGGTTAGTAATGTGGATGGAGTGCACCCTTTGTTTACAAGATTGATCTGTGGATCCGAAACGATGCCGTTAAGTGTCCACCATGACCAGAATATAAAGGTCCTGATTAAAGGGACGAAATTAGGCTGAAGCATGTTTTGTTGACGAGATCGATAGAGTGAAGATGAAGAAGAAAAGAGAGGTCATATATGTGGTGCTTCTTGGGTCCAGCTGAGCTTAATGTTTGCAGAAGATGGGCTTTGCGAAGACTAATTATTAATTCATTGGTGGAAGACTTGGAAGATTAATTGGAAATTCAAAACCATTACCCAATGAGAACAGCCGCCAACATGGAATTCAGCTTTCATCTTTTATATGTATTTTCTTTATTTACTTTAGCTTTTAGAGCAAATAAATTTTTAATTGTTTCTACAGTGTAATTCATATTATACTAATAAACAAATCACGCACTCAAAATTTTAATATAACAATCCCAAAATAAAAAAAGTTAACATTAATATTTTTAAATTGAATAGTAAATTTTATTATTAAAATAAGAGTAAAAAAAGGTCTAGCCATTTTGGGTTTTAAGTTTGTCAAAATCATCTAGTTCAAAACGGTTCAAAACAATTTAATTTTCGAAACAGGTTAACAAGTTAAATTAAGTCACTTTTATTATATGGGTAGCCGTCGGTCAGTCCGGGCTTAAGACACCAACCTTAATTGAAAAAGATGAAATTTCTCTTTTCTATATTTTACGTTTTATTTTACTATTATTTTGCTATAAAAGTAGCAATATATGGAAAGGATTCATCATGTGCAATTTATGGAAGTTCGTGACCCACAAGCTAGTTCTCAATTGTCTGTGGGCCCATCGGTTCAGGACACATTCAAAGGACGGACTTTGGAAGCCTAATTAGTGGAATTAATAAGCTAGATTTTGAGATTTCCAATTTAATAATAGATAGTTGCATAAAAATGTAAACGTCACTAACTTAACTATCAAAACATCTGCAACTTCTTTCCTAGTTGTTGCAGCATATCATGCATCCAGATTGATCCATTTATAATGTTTGTATAGTGATAGACATCATGGTGCAAAGTCATGTTTTGTAGAAAAATTAACTTCATCATTCAAAATAAAATTGGATTTTGAAAAAAAAAACAAAAAAAAGGATGTCACATATTAATTAACCAAACATCAAGGTAGATTAATGTAGTTAACTCAAAACTCTTTACACTATAGAAATTATCAATAGACAAATACTTCTATAAGGATTGACGTATGATTGCAAACAAATGTAGAAGAATAATGGAATAAAGAACAGTCATTTTGTATTTTCTTCTTCGATGTCTATTCTTATTCGTCCAACAAACACAACTGTATATCTTTCTGACACTAGAACTCAAGGCCGTAACAATGGACGAAGAGGAAGTTGATGTAGAAGCTAAGTGTAGTCCTCTCCATGGGCCCTTATTTAATTAGTTTCAACCAAGAAAGGCACAGTGGGTCTCATATTTTAAAATAAACCCTTGTTTTGGAGCAAGACAACAACTTCAGAAATTGTCGGTCTTATTGTAGGAGATGCTTGGGTGCAAAGCAAACCAATCTCTATGATTTTCTTTACTTCTTCTATATCACAGTCATTAGGGTCTAAAGTATTGTCCACCAACTCTAAATGCCTGCCTCTCTCATACAGTTTCCATGCCTAACAATAATTGGGATTAATTACAAGTTAAATAAAATAACCGAAATAGAAATGCAAAAGCCAAAAAAAAAAATTTGGTTAATTTTCAAAATTTTTAGATTATCTAACAAAGAAAAAATAGTGTTCGGTTACTAAAAAAATTCTGTCAAAACTTCCTCCAATGAATTAATTTTAAGTACTTATATTAATTTCCTTACCTTTTGAAGGAGGAATTCACCTTCAGCTTCACCATTGATGTTCAATTCTTCACTTTTTCGACCACTGATAATTTCTAGGATTACAACACCATAGCTATAGGCATCAGCCTTCTCAGATAATTGGCCATTTAATGCATACTCTGATGCTGTATATCCTCTGATAAATAATATATAGTATTTATTACATGAGCGATCATATTAATAACACAGACACAACCATATGTATTATAAATCTCAAGACAACAAAATCTGAAAGACTGGAACAAACATAATATTATGTCATGTGGACCATAGATATATGAACTCTTTCTCCAAGCATTCATGCTTTATAGACCAAAAAAAAAAGTTACAACTTGTTATTGATACAATAGGAGTGTTCTGTTGATCTAGACATACTTTATTTTCATACAATGCTGCGATAAAAAGTTAAAGAAAAATAGGTAAATGTAATTATTTCAACTTACAATGTTCCTGCAAATTTTGTGCTTAGATGAGATTTGTCCTCAGATAAAAGTTTTGCCAATCCAAAATCAGCAATTTTAGGTTGAAAATCATCATCCAAGAGGATGTTATTAGACTTTATATCTCTATGTATAATACAAATATGGAATTTCTCGTGTAGATAAGCCAAACCTCTTGCCGTGCCTAAAATTATATCATACCGTTGCTCCCAACCAAGAAAACCTTTCATTTTACCTGTTATCATGTTTACACATAGTAAAGTGCAAAAGGTAGAGATTATAATAAAAGTGATCCTCAAGATGTTTATAGATGAAATAGATGTAGACTTTTATTAATTCCTTCAATAAATGTTTACTACATATGAATAAGTTTGTTAGAAGAGTCAATTATATGAAATTGAAAAGATATCCACATGCTATAATATTATGAAGATGTCAAGTAGCTAATCCTTAAAGAACATTATGTAAATTTTGGTAGGTTGATAGGAGTTTACCAAATAAGAATTTGTCAAGACTGGTATTTTTCATGTATTCATAGACAAGAATTCTTGTATTGTCTTTGCTGCAATATCCAAGAAGTCGAACAAGATTTCGATGATGAACGTTACTTATAAGTTTCACTTCGCTCTCAAATTCATCCTCCACTTTAGTGGAATGGCGTAAAGTTAACTTTTTGACTGCAACTACTTTCCCATTCTTCAGAGTTCCCTGTTCATGATGATTAAGAATTTCAATCATGAAAGTAATATGATCCCCTTGTCCTTTAATAAATGCAAGTTTTTACAACACTAAATAAAACTCACATAAAAACATCCCTACTTTGGAAGATGATCCAGATCAAAATATGTAGCTACGTACCTCGTATACAGTACCAAATCCTCCTTGTCCAAGTTTATTATCTGCATTAAAATTTTTTGTTGAAAGCTTCAAATCCTTGTAACTGTAATTAACTGGACCTTTCAACTTGCTTGCTCCGGTTGTGTCTCCTGTAAGGAATTAAAACATTTGTCGGAGTATCTTCAGAAATTACCAAGTTTATATTCTGCATCCTTCAAATTTTCAAATCCTAATAAAACTGCAGGACTTTCAACTTGCTTGCCCCAATTATGTCTCTCGTAAGGAAAACGTTAGTCAAACTCTCTTCATAAATTAAAAGGCCCAATCAATTAGGATTAATATGCAGTGAATGAAGATTTTTCAAAACTTGTTTACCTCCACCTGGAACCCTTTTAGGATTTTTTGGTGGCTTGGCCCAAAGAAAAAATGCCAGGACAATCAAAGCAAGGATTACACTCCCAGCAACTGCTCCACCAATGATGGCCCCCTTATTGATCGAACCTGATGCAAGACATGAAAATCATCTAATCAAGCTAAGCAAATGGCATGAGACACACACACACACACACACATAAAACATGAGATTTAATTGAAATTACTCATAGGCAAATCAAATTGTGTTGTATTGAAATCTTGAAATGAACTATATACCTTGTTTATCCATGGGAGTGACATCAATGATCTGGTAATTATCAGGAAAGAATGAAGTTGTGGAGTATCTTAAGAAACAACCTTGATCAAAAGCCCTACCGTCTGACGTGGGAAGACAAGTCTGCATATTCTTGTATCCAACATTTAAGCAATTGAGGCACCCACTCTGTGTGATAGTTTCAGTACACTGAACAAAGGTATGTATAGTTGGACCAGTATTAGGAACATGCGTCTTCATCGCTGCCAAAAAACCAGGGATTGTAGATGTTTCTTTTTGCAGATTCATTAGCAGTTTTTGCACAGCTGAGGTAAACGCAGTGGCTTCTTCTGTAGTTTTATTCCCACACAATGCAGCATTGAAAGTATCCGTCGGACGGTCAAAGAAAGGACTGGCATCATACCTGATCAATATACCAAAAAGTTCTCCGTATCAGTTTTCCAAGTTCAATATGGACTTCGCCATATGTATGGATCAACCATATGTGAAGACTAGTTATTCATCCTTGGATGAAAATTGATTAAATCTTATTAATGTCAAACTATCATTATTTTAAGGTTATGTAGTATATTATGTGTACTCTCTAATAGGTGGAACCAACATAACAGACCATTACGCGTGTTAATGGTAAGGTGAGAAGGCAGCTTCTTTCAAATATGGAGGGACAAAAATAACTCAAAATTGAGTTCAAGGTACCTGCAAATCCTGAACGCAAAGTTCAGGGGCAAACATGACTTTTAATCCTAAAAAAAAATGATAATAGCATCCTTGACATACCGTGAGGCCAATGTTGATAATAACAGACTCATATAATGAGATCTGGATTAATTCAAGTGGATGGTGGTAATATTCCAAGTTTTCTAGAATAGGAGTTAAAACACGAGAGATATGTTGAAAAATCTAATTTTAGCCTATTTTGGCAAGCGATTTAAAATAAGCTAATCCAATTAACCTATCAAAATAATCCGAAAATAAAGGAACAATTATAAATCATTGAATCAATCAAAAATCAAGGGGTGTACTCTACAAACTACAATCAATCAATCTAGATTCTAAACAGCGCAAAGTTGCGTAAACTAGAATAATATAAGGTCGCAACAAATATCATATATATATATATATATATATTTCTCCGCCCAACAAAGAAGCAAGAAAAAGAACAAGTGGAACTCGGTGGACTAATCTTGTTACCTGCGGAAGCAGCCGTCGTAGACAACATGGCCGCCAGGAGCACCGGCGGGGCAGCTGCGGATTTGGACGGCAGCTACATCGAAGCAGGCGACACAGTCAGCAACTGAAAGGTAGTTTCTGCACTGAAAAAGAGTATACACGGGGCTTCCTCCACTGCCTTCCTGAACAGTACCGAAGTGCTTGCTTTGGTCTCTGATCTGTCCTCTGAGGTCTCGAAACGTTGCATTTAGGTTCTCATTGAAGATGGACAAGTCGGAAATGACGAACTGGTCAAATGGTGTGCATCCGAAGGTGAGAAGATGAGTTTGCGGGTCTGAAACGCCGCCGTCAAGAAGAGTACAGCATGACCAGAATAAGGAAAATAAGGTAAGGAGAAAAGAACGTTGAAGCATGTTTGATCAAGAGAAAGAAGATGAAGACATTGAGATACACTATGAGGATAATAACGAGAGGAGGGTCATGGTGTTTGAAATGGACCGCAACAACAGAGGAGTTGGGGCAGAGAAAAATTTGGATCATTCAGATTGGAATGGCAAAAGAAAATTTGTTTGATTTAATATTTTAATTTATATTTTTAAAATAAAAAATATAATTTAAAAAATTTTAATAAATACATTTATTAATCTAACAATCCAAATTTAATATTAAAAATTTAAATTAATTTTTTAAATATATTTTGAACAATTTAAATATATTTTAAACAGAATAATAAATTTATTAAAAAAATTTAATATTAAATTTAAATTATTAATATTAAATTTAAATTGCTAATAAATACATTTGTTAATCTAACAATCCAAATTTAATATTAAAAATTTAAATTAATTTTTTAAATATATTTTAAATAATTTAAATATATTTTAAACAGAATAATAAATTTATTAAAAATTTAATATTAAATTTAAATTACCGGATTGATTGTATATTTTTTATTTTAAAAATATAAATTAAAAATTTAAATTTTGACTGCACAAAATTTTCTCTGCCTCTCCACGCCTCACTGGAGAGGCAGAGGAGGCCTCCAGGGAAGCAAACTCCAACGACTGATGTGACCATTCAGGACTTTCATGTGTGGTAGATGATCATTTTGGGATACATTAAATATCACAAAGTGTAACTTACAAGTTACAGCTAAACTTGTCTCATTGTCTGTATCTCCCTTTTTTTTAATTCGGACTAAAAATATTTAAATATTTAGAGTCCATCCAAAGTAAAAGCACTCAGATTGACTTTAATTTTTAAAAAGATAAATTATTTAATTTTTATAATTTTAATTTAATTATAATTTAATAACTTTAATTTTTAACTTATTGTGATTTAATCATTATAGTTTTAATTGGGATGCAACTTAATATAAAAATTTTAATTTATTATAATTTAATTTTTATAATTTTAATAATTTTAAATATTAATTTTAAAATTTTAAAATAACTTTAGTCTTTATAATTTTATTTTTTAAAATATAAAAATAAATATTTTAAATAATTAAAATTATAAAAATTATGTTACATGGTTAAATTAAAATTTATGAACTGTTACAGTTAAATTAAAATTATAAAAATTAAATGATTTTTTTTTTGCCCCTTTTGACACTAACACTCACTGGAATGTCTCCTAACCCTATTCATATTTATCTGTTCTTCTCTTTTTTTCCAATATTGCTTCGTAAATTTGAATCTTTGGTGTTGAATTTTATATTCGTTCTCCCCCCGCTGAATCATAAAACATTCACTTTAATTAGGATTTTTCACATATATAATTTTGCCGACAGAAGAATTATATTAAAAACAACTTGTTAGAATTATATCGGGATATAAAACTTGTTAGAAAATGATACAACTTGCTTGAAATGTCTATGCTTGGCATCAAGCACAAAAACATCAAACACTCAACTGTTGATGGACTAAGATTCTTTCTTTTCTTCATCTTTTAAATAATTTTAGATGAATATTTATAAATAATAATATTTAAATTATTAAATATTTAATATTTTAACAATATTTATTAAATTTTATTTTTTTAAATTATTAAATTTTACTTTAATAAGACTTTAAAATGCCAATGCTCTTAAAAAAAAAGAGTTGAAGGACAAATTAATACATAATCAGAATCTTACCTATTATTATGTGTGAGTCTCACGCACATATCACATTAACAAAAGTCTGTAAAATTAACTGGTAACTAATGGAAGGATTTTTAGTTTCTCAAAAGAAATGATTTAAAGGAAAAATTATTTTACTTATTAGTATAGGATATCACACTTCTTGAAAAATTCATGGGCAAAAATAAACATGAATTCAAAGTTAAATTATATATGGCACTGTAGAACTATCCATTGAATGCAAATTACCAACAGAGGGAGAAGAGAGATTTCTAATTGTAATATGCCAACAATTGCATGGCCACATATTCCCTCTGAATCATAATATAAGGTATTACTTAGAAACCTTGTTTTGTTTAATTTAAAATATAAAGTATTAAGTAATTTTTATAATTGTTATTTAAAAAATGGTCCAATTGAAATTTTAATGATCAATACTTATTTAAAGTATTTAATGAAAATATAATTAAAATTATGTACACTTTCTTTTAGAACTAGCTAACAATGCCCCGTATTGTAATCTAGATACAGTATTTTTAATATACTTTTTTTTTTTTAAACCTTGTAATGAACACAAAATTGAGAAGCATATCTCCCTATTACAATTTGCGTTGGCGTCCCACCTTTTTAAAAAAATAATGTATAGTAATTTTTAAAATTATTATACGGCTTTATAATAAGATAGGCATGGGACTCATAATAAAAAAGAAAATTGAGTGGCAAATATAGAACTAATATTAAAAAAAAATCTGATTATAATATAGGATATTTTTTACAAACTTTACTTGATATAAAATGTAAGACATTGAATAACTTTTATAATTATATAAATAAATATATTAAAAATTTAATTTTTTTGATTATTTTTAAAATCAAACTCATTAAAATTTTCTCTCATTTTTTTGTTATATTGTAATTAAAATTTAATATCTTGCGCATCACACAGATATAAAATGTAGTCTAACGTAATAGCTGTGAGCGAACGGTGGCACAACAGAAAACTCATCTGTCTTTTACAATAATAAAAAATAAAAGTAATAAATAAATAAATAAAAGGCTCTGCTTCGCTTTGACGCAACCTGCAATGTTAAAGGCGGTTGTAGTTCACGATTTGTAGCAAGCAGAAGAAGTCGAAGCTCTCCCTCTTGAATCTAGCTCCTCTAATCCAAAACTGATTCGTATCCTGTAGCGTTTTTCTTTTCATTTTCTCTTCGGAAGAATCAAATCGTCTTCGGAAATTAATTATTTGTTTCCCCAAATTGGATTTCACTGTCTGCTTACTGAGTTTGAAGTTATGCTCTAGATTTCTGATTAAGACACTTTTTAAGTAACATTCTTGTAAATTTCGAATTGCAGATTGGAACGACTATGTTTTACTCGGTGAAATTTGAGTGTTCTGCTTCCAATTCTATTGGAGTGAAATTGGCATTTGGTAATATGGTTCGAGGGTCTGGCCCAGACCATCAGGGACTCGATCACCTAGCAGGAAGAGGATTGTGGTTTCAACCAATGTGGAAGCTTCTCCACTCAATTCGAGTTCAGCGACACCATTGAAGAGAATCCGTAGCAGGACATTCACTCTGAACTCTGAAAGGTCTCATCTCGAAGCCCTGCCTCAGGACATTCTTGTGAGTACCAGGAACAGCTAGTATATCTCTAGTATATATGACGGATTGTCTGAAATTTCTCTGTTTCCTGGTTAAATCTCAGATAAGTGTTTTGTGCCAGATCATGAAGATTTGAAACAGCTTTGTCTTGTATCGAAGACGATAAAAGAAGCAGTGAGTATCAATTAATAACTTGGTACTGTACGTGTTCATTATGATTGTTTTAGTTTTTAATTAGTGGCTGTAATTGGTAACTTCTGTTTCTTGCTACTTTAGGCTCTTATGACGAAGCCATGGCATTTCGAATATATTACTCCGAAGAAAACTTTCATCTCTGAAGAAATTGAAGCTTGGAATGCTCCACGGAGGAAATCCAAATCAAGGCTAAGTGGGATGCAAGTTATCTGACATCTCAGTTGCCATATTTGCTTAGAGCACTGAATTCAGATTCTGTGTAATGTAAGTAAATCGATGGGTAGAATATGCTGGCTGTAGATTAAATAGGAGTACTTGGAGGGGAGAAGATCTTTAATAAATAATAATTTTATATATATTTTTTAATTTAAATTTTTAAATATTTATTTAAAGTTAATTGAGTTTAATTAAATATTATTTAATTTTTATCAGTCAATTTTTAGTTTTTATATTTTAATTATCTAAATCTTTAATTTTAAAATATAAATGATATTTTTAATATTTTTGCATATTTGCTATTTAATTTTATTTTATTTATGTAAATTTTTTAAATTTAATTTGTAAGATATTAATAAAGGTTATTTTAGATAAGAAAGATATGAACATGTTTGAAGATTAAATTAATAATTAAATTTTTAAAACTTTGATTATTTTTATTTTGAGTTTTTTAGTGTAATTTTCAATTAGAGTTATTTAGATAGTTTAGTCTTTTTAATAAATTATTAGGTTTTATTAGAAAATAAAGAAAGAGTGACGCAGCACAATGTGTGTGTATATATATATATATAAAGCAAGCCACAAGGGAGACGAACGACTTGGACAAGAGAAAAGAAACAAAGTTAGCAATGCTGAATAGTTCGTGAGCGATGGCTCCTCATTTTCTTATGCAATGTTGTTTGGTTTTTAGTTCTATAAAGAGCTAATTTTTTTATATAATTAATCACAAATTATAATCTTAAATTTTAATTAAAGTCTTTGATATTTAGAAAAGATTTTATTTCAATTATAAACTTATTTTCTCTACTTCTAAATTTTATATTTTAAATGTTATTGCTGATTAAAGTAGCTTTATTATATAATTTTGGATTATAAATTTTATATAAAATTTTATTTGCTATAATCGATTGATATAATAATATAAGAGTAATTTAGCTTGGTTTAAGTGATTACTCATGCTTTGTTTTTGGTGTAGCTAACATAAAATAGTTGTTACATTGTGAGTTAAGGGAGATTTTAATTAATCTATAATTTAATTTCTTGTTTAATTCTTGAATGATAATTTAAGAAATATATAATAAAATTAAAATAATAAAGTTAAATAAAATTAATTTATTTTGTGGATGAGAAAGATTAAATTTAGATAATTGAATTGTAATTAATTGTGCTGCTTGTTCTTGATAACTTTTTCAGTTAAATTTTCTTTATTTTTATAATGTTGATTTAGGTTTTTTTTAATTAATTTCATTATAAACAAATCCCTCACAATTTACCCTTTTATAATTATAATTCAAATAGTTATTCTATTGATTTTTAAAAAGACGACTTAGATTACATGTTACTGTAAAATTTAATTTTTATTAATTTTGATGCTACTCGATAGTAGTATCAATCTCTTGAATTAGATTTTTTTAGCTGACTTTATACTTAACAGAAATCTTTCACAGGCCAGCCATATACTCAAATCTGTGTTGCTTTGGCTTGTCTCAGTGCATGGCCATAGTGATAGAGAAAGAAAAATCGTGGGGATTAATTTTGTTTGGAGGGCAATCTAAGGCCATTCTTGTCTGATAATTTTGGGAGTGTACAATTGATTCTGCAAACTCTTTGAACCTAATTAATGATTATATATAGTTTTTGACTTTTAGTATGGTTGAACTTGATCCTGTATAGAGTCAGTAATTTGAGTTAAGCTCGACGAGCCAGTTAGAATCTAGCCGAAAGTTTTAGAGCCAAGCCCAAAAAAATATTAATTTTTTATTGTTCGGGCCTATTCGAGTGGCCCGAATAGGCTAGAGAAAATTCAGGCCAAACCCGATCGAGTTTGGGCTTAGCTCGATATCCAAATAAAAAATAATTTTTTAAAAATATATAAAATATAATAACTATTAATTAATTTTTCAAGTTTTATATCATTTTATATTAAAATAATATATATATATATATATATAAGTGTTTTAATGTAGTTATTTTTTAAAAAAATTAAAAATAGTTATATTTCATATTTTTATTATTTTTAATCAATAAAATATCTCAAAATAATATTTAAAATATATTTTAATATTGATTTTAATATTTTAAGACCCAATTTTTTTAAAAAAAATTTTGAGTCTTATAAATCATTTCCATATAAAAAATAATTTGATATTTTTTATAAATTAAGATAATTAATTTTAAAGTAAAAATAAAATTAAAAATAATTTTAAAAATAAAATTTAGATATACACGAATTCCTGACTCTACTACTAGATAAACATAATAAATAAAATAATATTCTTGAATAATTACTTGGTTATTGTCTATACTAGATTTAGTTAAAAATAAACTAGAGTAAGAATCCTTTATATATAAGAGTTAAATAATATAAAAAGTTAAAAAAATAATTTCAAAAAAATAATATTTTATTCATAATTAAATAATTTTTTTATATAATATAATGATAGAAATTTTTTTATATTCATAAAAATAAAAAGTACAATTTACCTAAAAGTTATTAAAAACTTTGAACTAATTGGGATAATAATTTTAAGTTAGTAGTCTAACTGTGATTGAATTGAGATCAACTTAATCATAATTAAAATAATATAATTTAATTAAAATATATAAAATATTTATATATGACTATGATAAGAGCAATATTTAAACAACTAAGACATTAATTTATAAGTAAAGGAAACATTCATGAATAGATTATACATAATATAACAAAATAATAACAGAGCTACTTAAGTACAAAGTTGATAAGTTATTTTTTATTTTATTTTTTTAAAATTAAGATAATATTTTACGCTTAATAGAATTATTTAAAAATTAAAATTAATTTAAAAAATAAAGAAAAAATACTTTTAAAAAGTTTCAAGTATTCGGGCCTACTCGAATAAGCTTGAAGGTGTTAGGGTCGGGCTTGACTATATAGACTTTTTAGAAGAGATAGGATACTTTAAGCCCGATCCGAATAAGCTGACCCACCTGAATTACTGGCTCTAATCCTAGATACTTTTTTTTTTCCTGGTAGGATTTTTCTCTTGGCTTTTTCTGGAATGTCATTCCCTTTCAATACTTCAAGGGAAATTAGTCATTGTTCCCAAATAAAATACATTTTACGTTGATGTTCATGTGGACTATAATCTTCTTTGATAATAGTGAATGCATTGCATATACTCAGTGTTGTATATCCTTGGCAAAAGCATTGTGTTTATGGCACAATGGATCAAAACAACAGGATATATTTTCTTCAATACTTATTACAAGACACTTTTAAGTATTTCATTGTAACTAATGAATGAAAGTTAATTTATTAAATATGTTTTAAAATGAAAAAATTTTCAATTTCAACTCTATTAAAAATAGGAAAAGAGAAATATATAGTATATGATGAGTTATAAAATTAAATTTACAACAAAAGTATTGTTGAAAAATGGTAACAAACAATTCTTCATATATGTGTGTGTCTTATATTAATGACTAAAAAAAATCTGAAGGAGTATAGACATTGGACACATTATCAAATGGAAATTCATGCGAATGTTATAATGAATAATATTGAAATAATTATGTCGGGACATAAAATTTGTTGGAAAATGATGCAACAAATTGCTTCAAATGTCTGTGCTAGAGGCATTAAATTAAGCACAAAACATCAATAAAGATGCCTTCTTTTCTTCGTCTTCTATGTTATTTCTTGATTTTTGGGTTCAAAGATCGAAGTGGCTCTGATCTTAACTTAATTGCACATTCTTACAAAATAAAATAATTATCCCAGTTGCTCCTAGTTAAGTTTCAATCAAGATAGGCATAGTAGGTCTCATATTCTCCAATAAGCTTTTGTCTTGGAGCAAAACAATTACTTCGGATATCGTTGGCCTTAGTTCCGCAGATGCTTGGATGCATAGCAAACCAATTTCTGTAATTTTCTTCACTTCTTCTACATCGTAATCATTAAGGTCCAAGGTTTCGTCCACCAACTCTACAAGTCTGCCTCTCTCGTATAGTTTCCAAGCCTACCAACAAATGAGATTAAAGTGAAATGGAATAGGGTCAGAAAAACCAAAGGAAACAAAAGTTTACATGTCTTTTTATCTGTGTATTATTGAAATCCTTAAAATAGTTGTGTTGTTGACACAAATTTTCTCCAATGGGGGGGGGGATGAAATTGCCTTTCTAAATCGATAGGAAAATTGTCTCACCTTTTGAAGAAGGTATTCACCTTCAGTATCAGCATCAACCTTTAATTCATTGCTTCTTTGACCGCTAATAATTTCGAGAACTACAACACCGAAGCTACAGATATCTGCTTTCTCTGATAATTGGCCATGAATTGCATACTCTGGTGCTGTATATCCTCTAAATAATGAATAATATTTATCACATAATTGATAAAAAAAACAGTGGCTCAAACTAATAGACACAAATATTTAGAACCAACAATATTTGAAACATATGTATTGGAAACATAGAGAATTGCATCACGTCCCACATTCACGTGAATTCTTTCTTGAAACTAAGAAAATCATATAAATGCAAGTATTTTGACTTACAATGTTCCTGTAAATTTTGTGTTAAGATGAGATTTTTCTTCAAGTAAAAGCTTTGCCAAGCCAAAATCAGCGATTCTTGACTGTAGATCATCATCTAAAAGGATGTTATTAGTCTTTATATTCCTATGAATGATACGAACATGGAATTCCTCATGTAGATACATTAAGCCTTTCGCTGTTCCTAAAATTATTTCGTACCTTTGTTTCCAATCAAGTGAACCTTTCTTTTTACCTATTTTCCAAGTAAAAACATTTTCAAGTGCAGGTTAAAAAGGAATAAACATAAAAGAAATTCAACAAAATGCTTCAGTATGAAATTAATATATATGTTGTTTCATGAGATCTTCAATAAAATTATGACATATAAATGAATTTTTGTTAGGAAGTCAAATGATGTGTTGCTAAGTTGAAAATATGTCCATAGATTATAATGTCATCAAACAATATAATATACCTCATGCCTAAATAACTACATATAAGATTTGTTGGTTGATGTGAGATACCGAAAAAAAATTTTTCCAAACTGGTGTTCTTCATGTATTCATAAACAAGAATTCTCTCGTCGCCTTTACTGCAACATCCAA